CCAAGTAGCTGGAACTACAGGCACGTGCCACCATGTCCAGCTAATTTTTTGATTTATTGTAGAGATGAGGTTTTGCCAAGTTGCCCAGGCTGGTAAATGGGGTTTTAAGGAAAGCATATATAAAAGAAAAAAAGGTAGAGGCTGAAGGCAAACATTTTTTAGAGAATAATTGTTTGAAGTGTCAGGAAGGAGACAAGAAGAGTAGTTTGAAATGTTGAAAGAAAAGAGTAAGATTGTCAAAGTCATGGAAGAACTGGTTGCAGTGGCTCACCCCTATAATTCCAGCACTTTGGGATGCCAAGGTGAGAGGATTGCCTGAGCTCACAGGTTCGAGACCAGCCTGGGCAGCTTGGTGAGACCTCATCTCTACAGTAAATCAGAATATTAGCTGGGCATGGTGGTGCATGCCTGTAGTTCCAGCTACTTGGAAGGCTGAGGTGGAAGGATCCCCTGAACCCAGCAGGTCAGGACTGCGGCTGCGGTGGCTGTGAGCGTACCACTGCACTCCAGCCTGGGCCACAGAGTGAGACTCCAACTAAAAAAAACCCCCAAAAAACAAAAACAAAGTCACGGGAGGATGAAATATTAAGAAGGAAGGAGGTAGGGGAGAAGGAAGGCCTGGCATGGGTAAAGGGCAGAGTCTGAATTTGGTCGAAGTCATTGGCGACCCTCAAATGTGAGGAATGTGAATTAAACCAAACTACAGGGCATAGGTGGTGAGAAAGTAGAGGTTTTTTATTTCAGTAGAGTCAGTAAGTAGTATTCATTTTAGAAAATCTGAATACTTAACTCATTTTTAAGGATCTAATGACTATCTCCCAGGTGTTGGGCTAGGTGCTTGGATTCAAGAAGGAATATTGTGATTCTCTGCTCAAGAACATTATAGTGAGGGAAAAACACATGTAATAAAAAAATTCACTGTTCTTCCATTCCTTCATTCCTTCTTTCCTCTCTAGTTAGACTCCATGGTTCATTATTAAGATTACCCATGTGAATATGTCCCCAACAAACTTACTCCTTTTTCCTTTCATTGTAGTCACCTAACTAAATTCCAATATTTGTTAAATTCAATTCTCCTCCTAGTCCTTGCCTATCCATGGGACTGTGGAGAAAAGGACATTACCACAAGGACTGGTCTCACATTAAATTCATGACTACTAACCTTAGTGGACCTTCAAAACTGTCCAGCTTAATTTCTGCATTTCTACAGTCCATTTACCCTCCCTCTTTCCTGGGTGACATGTTCTTTTTTTTTTTTTTTCTGTTCAAATTGACAACTCTTTCCCCACCTTTTAACTAAAGAACTTACTTCCTATTTCACTGATAATGTGAATACAGAAGAGAATTCCTTCATGCTCCTATTGCCATGGCTATCAACATATTTACACATTAACGTGAATACTCTGCCCTTTTCCAGTGGGTGACTGTTCATGTCCTTGTACAGGATTTACATCTCTGTTTGTGCCTGGGATCCCATCCCATCTCTCTAATCCTCTCAAGGACATTACTCTAAGAATTACTTGTCCTCTTTTGGATCAACACTTTTTGTCTCTCTACTGAGCCATTCCCATCAGCATATAAGTATGCTGTATTATATCCTATTTCAGAATAATAAATAAAGAAAATTTCATTGATTATCTCTTTCTAGCTACTTCCCTGTTCTTGTTTATAGCAGTATTCCTTCAGTTGTCTATGGGCGTTTCTTCTTTGTCTTCTTTCATTTTCTTGAATCTATTCCATTCAGGCTTCTAGTCTTACCATTTCACTGAAACCATTTAGTCAGGTCACTTAGTGATATCTACTTTGCTAAACCCAATTATCACTGGATTTGGTTGATACTTTTCTCTTTGTTGAAATGCTTTTTAAAAAATTGTTTTTTAAGATATCACATTCTTAGTTCTCCTCTTACTTCATTAATTGCTTCCTCTCAATTTCCTTTGCTGGGTTCTTCTTCATGTCCATGACCACTAAACATTGGTATACCCCAAAGCTTAAACCTTGGACCTCTTATTTTGTTCATTTATGCTCACCTTCAAATAACAAATATAGTCTGGCAACTCTTGAATTTATATTTCTCATCCAAACCTTTCTCCTGTCAGCTCTCTCTCTTTTTTTTTTTTAAGTGAGAAAGCAGGATTTCTTGAGAGGACAGAAAAGCTCCCACAGCAGGAGGGGACCTGAAGGGGTTGCCAGCTCTCTCTTTAAAATATATTATGAATTTCACCATTTCTTATTATCTCCACTGCTGCTACCCTCATCCAAGACACCATCATCTCTTGCCTAGATTATTATAAAAGTCTCCCAACTGGTCTTTCTACTTTTACCTCTGCCCACTTTGAACAATCTTTTCTCAACTCAGTTAAAGTAAACCTTTTAAAGCATAAGATAAGTTATAAAATTCTGCTGAAAACGCTCTTGTATCTCTCCATCTCACTCATAAAAGAAAAGCTCTTACAATAGCCTATAGACTGTTATAACATGATCCGTTCACATCTTTCACTTTGTCTCCTACTATTTTTGCTTTTGCTCATTCAACCACAGCATCACTGCCTCCTTTCTTTTCCTCAAACATGCCAGGCATGCGCCTGCCTCAGGGACTTTGCACTTGCTCTTCTCTCTGGGAAAACTTTTCCTCAGATATCTGCTAGCTCTCTCACTTCATCTAGGACTCTGCTCACCAAAACTATGTCTACCCTTTATTCTGCTTTATTTTTTCCCAATTGTCTTATTGCCATTTGATATATCTAGTTGTTTATTTTTATGTTCTATCTTGAGGAGTTTTAAAGAATCTTTAATAAACTGAAAGATGGGGATATGCTCCTCATACTCTTAAGCTAGAAGCTCCAATCTAGCTTGTTTATCATAGTATCTGCAGTATATGATATAATTCATGGCACATAGTAGATGTTCAACACATTTTTTAAAATGAATAAATGCCTTTTGATTTAGAGACCAGCTTGCATTTATTGTGAGTATATGTGTGGGTATGCACACCTATAGTAACTACATATGATTGGATAGTTTTTCTAATGTACATTTTGTAGAAATAGTTAATCAGCCGGGCTCGGTGGCTCAGCCTGTAATCCCGCGCTTTGGGAGGCTGAGGTGAGTAGATTGCCTGAGCCCAAGGGTTCGAGACCCGCCTGGGCAACTTAGTGAGACCTCTTCTCCACAATACATAAAAAATTAGCCGGGTGTGGTAGCACACGCCTGTAGTTCCAGCTACTTGGAAGGCTGAGGTGGAGGGATTGCTGGAGTCCAGCAGGTCAAGGCTGCGGTGGCCGGGAGCAGCCACTGCACTCCAGTCTGGGTGACAGAGTGAGACTCCAACTCAAAAAAAAAAAAAAAAAGAAATAGTTCATCATTCATCTAAATACTGACCTTCTAAGCATTGTTTAGCTCAGTCTGTAGGTTCAAACCTATTGCGTTTGACCTTTCACAAATTTCAGTGCCTCATTTATCACGTATAAAGAGATACAGAGGCAGATATTTTTCCACTAATTCTGCATGCTTCTTTAAGAAGAGTTGAATAACAATGGTACAACATTTTGCTATGATACAATGAATCAATCTGCTGTGGTTTTAGATTGTGCCTATGGGACTAGCAAAACATTGCTATTTTAAACTTTGGTTATAAATTACCTCTTAAATTAGGACCATTCAGATATGACTCAGTAAATAAAGGTGGTCTGAACTATTCAAGCATCAAATTACATTCATCTAATATACATAGCGCTTCAAAAGCTATACTTTGTAAAACAGTTGGATAACTTGAATCATTTACATGTTGTAATGGCCTAAGTAGTCATTTCTGAGAAGTATAAGCAAGTATAAAAAACAAGATAATATCAGGTGCTAGATTAATTGCCCAACTATAAATCATTCAAGGAGCTTAACTGTGTTTATGCATTAACAATAAAATCTTGAATGTGTTGGTGGCTGGGTAAAAAATGTTTATCATCCCCTTCATATAGAGGATGGCTTCTGCTTCTCCTGCAAGGACATATCATCACATATCTTTAGGTCCTAAAGAGATTGTCTCTGTTCTCTCTGAAAAAAAAATTAATAGAATTCAAATTAGAAAATTTATTCCGAAAAAAGATACAATTTATTTCTTTTATTTTTTTAGCATATTTTTTGTTTTAAAATTGTGGGGTACAGTTAAGGGTTAGGTATACAAATATGTATTGTGCAGGTACCCTTGTTGATGAGGTGTGCTCCCCTGACCCAGACAGATATTGACTACCGTTAATCCCACCTCCCTGCAATTTACTTCTGTTTTAGTTATTTCACTAATTTTGCTAAATTTACTGATACTAAATGCAGTGTAAATATGTTGACCTTCAATAACCAAGGTATTTTATGGCACAAAAAATAGGTGTGATAATAATATGATATTATATGTACTTTTTTTTTTTGGGACAGGGTCTCACTTAGGTTTGTCACTTAGGCTGGAGTGCAGTGGTGCAATCCTGGCTCACTACAGCCTTGACCTCTTGGCTTAGGTGATCCTTTCACCTCAGCCTCCCGAGTAGTTGGGACTATAGGCATGTGCCACTATATCCTGCTAATTCTTGTATCTTTTTTTTTTTTTGAGTTAAGAGTCTCATTCTGTCACCCAGGCTGGAGGGTACTGGCATGCTTATGGCCGCTGCAACTTCGACCTGCTAGGGTCAGGCGATCTTTCCGCCTCAACCTTCCAAATTATTTTTTTGAGACAAGATCTCACTGTGTTGCCCAGGCTGGTCTCAAACTCCTGGACTCAAGCGCTCTCCTGCCTTGGCTTCCCAAAGTGCTGAGATTACAGGTGTGAGCCACTGTGGCTGACCAAATATTGTATATACTTTTGCACACACAGTTATGTATGCCTCTTTTCCCTTTTTAACTTCATTACCATAGACAAACGTGTTTATTATGTGACAACAAGCTTTCTTGTCTCCATATGAAAGTAATTTAATTTTTGGGGAAAAGACCTACAGTTATTGTCTTTTTGTTCACAGGAAAGGAGGCAATAATAAATTAATAAAGATCTATCATCGGGATGGTAAATATGGCTTTTCTGATCCTCTGACATTTAATTCTGTGGTGGAGCTCATTAATCACTATCATCATGAATCTCTTGCTCAGTACAATCCCAAACTTGATGTGAAGCTGATGTACCCGGTGTCCAGATACCAACAGGTATGATTACAGAAGCCCTTGATAATTATTGATCAAGTCATTATTTAACTACATCATTTGGTTCTATTTACCAGGCTTATCAGTTTAAAAAAAAAAAAAAAAAGAAACTAGTCATTTAAATTTCCTACTCAAGATTTTTAGATATTTAACTTACTTTGTGGGTACCCTTCTGTAACAGCTTATAGCATACATTTATTAACTTTACCTTAAATACTTATATTTATGGTTCCCTTATAGTTCATATCTTAATTTATTTACATACATGCACATACACATATTTTTAGATAGGGTCTTGCTCTATTGCCCTGACTGGAGTACATGGTACGATCATGGCTCACTGCAGCCTCTACCTCCTGGTCTCAAGTGATTCTTCTGCTTCAGGCTCCCAAGGAACTGGGACTATAGGTGCACATCATCACATTAGGCTAATTTTTTAAAATTTGGGGTTTTTTTAGAGATAGGGTCTCTCTGTGCCCAGGCAGGTCTCAGACTCTTGGGTGCAAACAATCCTCCTGCCTTGCCCTCCCAAAGTACTGAGATTATAGGCATGAGCCACTGTGCCCTGCCAGTGTTTAAAGAATTATTGGCCGGGCTCGGTGGCTCAACCTGTAATCCCAGCACTTTGAGAGGCCAACACAAGTGGATTGCTCCAGTCCGCGAGTTTGATACCACCCTGGGCAACTTGGTGAGACCTTGTCTCTACAATAAATAAAAAATTAGCCAGGTGTGATAGCAGTTGCCTGTAGTTCTGGCAACTTGGAAGGCTGAGGTGGAAGGATCGCCGGAGCCCAGCAGGTCGACACTGGGGTGGCCATCAGTGTGCCACTGCACTCCAACCTGGGTGATGGAGTGAGACTCCAACTCAAAAAAAATAAAGAAAAAAATAAAGTATTAATTATTTTAATATGATTTAAAGGCTGATCTTAGTGTTAACAAAAGGATTCAGTGCCTTTGCATACTTTGTGTTAATACAGTGGTTTAAACTTATACAGTAGAATACAATTAAAAAATAAATATAGTGGGGCGTGGTGGCATGCGTTTGTAGTTCCAGCTCCTTGGAAGACTGAGGTGGAAGGCTTGCCTAAGCCCAGCAGGTCAAGGCTGTGGTGGCCGTGAGCATACCACTGCACTCCAGCCTGGGCAACAGAATGAGACTCCAACTTAAAAAAATAAAAAATAAAAGCAAACAAACAAATAAATAGGTAGTTAAGGTGATATTTCCTTTAAAAGAAGTAATGTGGAAAAATTAATGTGTCAGAATTATTAATGTTATTTCTTTCGTTTACTTTTATAGGATCAGTTGGTAAAAGAAGATAACATTGATGCAGTAGGTAAAAAACTGCAAGAGTACCACTCTCAGTATCAGGAAAAGAGTAAAGAATATGATAGGCTATATGAAGAATATACCAGAACATCCCAGGTTAGTATATTTTTGTTGTTTGGGCTAGTAAGTGTGCAGTGTTCATGAAGTTTTCTATAATCCTGGTGATCTTTAGCTGTCTTAATGTCTTTTAACAGCCTTTTTGAGACTTTGATAATATATAAGTTCCCTTTCCATTCATAAATTACTTTTTTATTGGTTAATGGATATAATTTGTATTCATTAGTATTAACTGGTTGCAAGTGACAAAAAATTAACAAAGCTTCAGATATAAATTTGTTTCTCTTTCATGGATATGTAGGCACTACAGGAGTGTTACGGCAACTCCACAGTCATGAGGACTTATGGATTTCTATTTTTTTTTTTTTTTGAGTTGGAGTCTCACTCTGTCACCCAGACTGGAGTGCAATGGCTGCTCCCGGCCACCGTAGCCTCGATCCTCTGGGCTCCAGCGATCTTTCCGCCTCAGCCTTCCAAGTAACTGGAACTACAGGTGCGCGCTACCACGCCTGGCTAATTTTTTTGATTTATTGTAGAGATGAGGTCTCGCCAAGTTGCCCAGGCAGGTCTTGAACCCACGGGCTCAGGCAATTCACTCACCTCGGCCTCCCAAAGAGCGGGATTACAGGCTGAGCCACCAAGGAGCCCGGCCTTTTTTTTTTTTTTTTTTTTTTTTTTTTTTTTTAAGACAAGGTCTCACTCTGTTGTCCAGGCTGAAGTGCATTGTCATGGGCTCAAGTGGTCCTCCCACCTCAGCCTCCTGAGTAGCTAGGACTACAGGCACCACTACCACACCTGTTTTTATTATTTGTGTTATTTTTATTTATTTATTTACTTATTATTATCATCATTATTATTTGAAACAAGGTCTCATTCTATTGCCCAGGCTAGAGTACAGTGGTCCGATAGTGGCTCACTGTAGCCTCAACCTCTAGAACTCAAGTGATCCTCCTATCTCAACCTCCCAAGTACTTCAAATTACAGATGCATGCCACCATACCCAGCTAATTTTTAAATGTTTTTGTAGAGATGAGGTCTTGCTATGTTGCCCAGGCTGATCTCAAATGCCTCGGCCTCCCAAATCCCTGAGATTACATGTTTGAGCCACCACACTTAGCCACTTTTTCTATCTTGATGCTTTGCTGTCTGTGCAAGTAAGTTGGTTTACTCTGATATAAGCCAGGTTTTTCTATTTTTTTAAAGATGACTTCCTAGAAGGAGCACACACTGCTTTCACTTTTATGCCACTGGCTAGAATTTAGTCACTTGATCATACCTAGCTATAGGTCACAACTAGCTGCAGGGGAGGCGAAAAATCTAATCTTTATTTGGTCATGTGTGCCCAACTAACATTTGGGGTTTTACTAAGGAAGAATGAGCTGAAAAATGGAAATTGTGGACTAGGAGCGGACTTAGCCACACAATTTTTAGATCTTTAGCCTTAATAATTAGTAATAATAATTTTATCATATTTATGATATAAAACAAAATTCTATAGCGTAATCTAGTTATTTTTCTAGGATTCCTTATTTCTGTTGTTACTTAGAATCTTTTTTACCTTGCCCTAAGTTGTTACATAGTACATAAATGGTGTTCGGAATTTTGATGAAGGTATCTTCAGCAAAATTTATCCTTTGTAATATTTGGGCTATAAGTGACCTAGGAAAATATTTAGCTGCATTCCTCATCTATATTCTCTTGAAACAGAGGTTATTACTTTGAACATAAAATGGTTTATAGAAGCATCAGTCCATGTTGATTCTACTAAGCTTCTAGTGAATTCTCAGTGCAATAATTGGATGGATTCAGTGACTTATACCTGTAATCCCAGCCAATTTTGGGAGGATTGCTTGAGCCTCGGAGTTTGTGACCAGCCTAGGCAACAGAGTGAGACCTTGTCTCTACAAAAAATGAAAAAAATTAGCTGGATGTGGTGGTATACGCCTATAGTCCAGCTACTCAGGAGGCTGAGGTAGAAGTGAGCCATGATTGTGCCACTGTACTCCAGCCTGGGTGATAGAGTAAGATCTTGCCTCAAAAAAGCAAAACAAATAATTTGCCTGGGTCCTTTTTAGTATATAATGACAATGAATTTTTCTTAGTGTTTACTTTCCATTTCATGAATTTCTGCTCTTATCTTTATTATTTTCTTTTCTTCTGCTTTTTCTTTCAGTTTAATTTGCTGTTTTGCTAGCTTTTTAAGGCTAAATTTTGTTCATTGGTTTAAAAACTTGCTTTTTCGTTTTTTTTTGAGTTGGAATCTCACTCTGTCGCCCAGACTGGAGTGCAGTGGCATGCTCCCGGCCACCGCAGCCTCAACCTGCTGGACTCCGGCAATCCTCCCGCCTCAGCCTTCCGAGTAGCCGGAATTACAGGCGCGCGCTACCACGCCTGGCTGATTTTTGATTTATTGTAGAGATGAGGTCTCCCAAGTTGCCCAGGCGGGTCTCGAACCCGCGGGCTCAGGCAATCCACTCACCTCAGCCTCCTAAAGCACGGGATTACAGGCTGAGCCACTGAGCCCAGCTTCTTTTTTTTTTGACTCGAAGTTTCACTCTGTTGCCTGGGCTGCACTGCAGTGACATGCTTATGACCACCACAGCCTTGACCTGCTGGATTCAGGCAATCCTTTCACTTCAACCTTCCAAGTAGCTGGAACTACAGGCATGTGCCACCTCGCCCAGCTAATTTTTTGATTTATTGTAGAGACAAGGTCTCACCAAGTTGCCCAGACTGGTCTTGAACCCATAGGCTCAGGCAGATCCTGTTGCCTCTGCTTCCCAAAGTGCTGGGATTATAGGCATGAGCCACCACCCCCAGCTGAACATTCTTTTCTAAAATAATCATTTAAAGTGATAAATTTCACTTTAAGCACTTTTGTTACATTTTATTTTTACTATTATTCAGTTTGAAATTTTTTCTTTTTTTCCTTGTGATTTCTTCTTTGGCATATGTATTATTCTCTAAATATTTGGAACTTTAAAAGGTATATTATTTATTTCTAATTTAGTTTAATTATGTTAGTGAACATATTCATTAAGATTACAGTCTTTTGAAATGTATTGACTTATTTTATGACCTAGCATATGCCTATTTTGGTAAACTTTCCGTGTGTACTGACAAAAACTGTATGTTCTTCAGTTGTTGCTATAGTGTACTAAAAATTTCAATTAGGTCAAGGTGGTTGGTAGTGTCATTCACATCTTCTATAGCTTTGCTGATTTTTTTGTGAATTGTTCTATCAGTTATTGAGAAAGAGTCTTAAAATCTTCAATTATAATTGTAGATTTGTTTATTTCTCTCTTCTGTCAGCTTTTGCTTAATATGTACTGAAATTCTGTTATTATTAGATGCGTGCATATTAGTAGTAAGTTGACCTCTTTATCAGTATGAAATAGTCTTCTTTACATCTGGTAACTCTCCTGTCTTAAAGTCTACTTTGTCTGATATATCCCCAACAGTTTTCAAATGCTTATTATTTGCATGATATATATATATTTTTTTTGAGTTAGTTTCGCACTCTGTTGCCCAGACTGGAGTGCAGTGACCGCTCCGGGCCACTGCAAGCTCAACCTGCTGGGGGCTCTGGCGATCTTTCCGCCTCAGCCTTCCAAGTAGCCGGAATTACAGGCATACGCTACCATGCCCGGCTAATTTTTGATTTATTGTAGAGCCGAGGTCAGCCCAGCAGGTCGAGGCTGTGGTGGCTGGGAGCGTGCCACTGCACTCCAGTCTGGGCGACAGAGTGAGACTCCAACTCAAAAACAACAAAACAAACAAACAGAAAAAGTCCAGGCCGGACTTGGTGGCTGAGCCTGTAATCCCAACACTTTGGGAGACCGAGGCGAGTGAATTGCCTGAGCCTGTGGGTTCAAGACAAGCCTGGGCAACTTGTTGAGACCTTGACTCTACAATAAATCAAAAATTAGCCGGGTGTGGCTAATTAGGCGCATGTCTGTAGTTCTGGCTCCTTGAAAGGCTGAGGTGGAAGGATCACGAGAGTCCAGCAGGTTGACACTGGGGTGGCCGTGAGTGTGCCACTGCACTCCAGCCTGGGCGATATAGTGAGACTCCAACTCAGAAAAAAAAAGAAATAAAGTCCAGTCTGACAATCTCTCCCTTTTAATTGGAGTGTGTGGTCTGTTTGTATTTCTTTTTCTTTTTTTTGAGTCAGAGTCTCAATCTGTCACCCAGGTTGGAGTGCAGCGGCACACTCAAAGCCACTGTTGCCTTGACCTGCTGAGCTTAGGTAATCCTTCCAAGTAATTGGAAATACAGGCATGTACCTCCAAGCCCGGCTAATTTTTTGATTTATTGTAGAGACAAGATCTCACCAATTTGCCCAGGCTGGTCTCGAATCGAACCCCTAGGCTCAGACAGTCCTCTCACCTCTGCCTCCCAAAGTGCTGATCCACCACACCTGGTCAAACTTTTTTTCTAGTATTCCATTTTAATTCCCATAACTCTTTTTCAAAATTTAAAGGTGGTTACTCTAGGAATTACAATATACATTCTTCTTTTTTTTTTTTATTTTTGAGTTGGAGTCTCACTCTGTCGCCTAGACTGGAGTGCAGTGGGACGCTCCTGGCCACTGCAGCCTCGACCTGCTGGGCTCCGGTGATCCTTATGCCTTAGGCTTCCAAGTAACCGAAACTACAGGCACACACTACCACACCCGGATAATTTTTTATTTATTGTAGAGACGAGGTCTCTCCAAGTTGCCTGGGCTGGTCTTGACCTGGCGGTCTCAGGCAATCCATTCGCCTGGGTCTCCCAAAGTGCTGGGATTACGTGCTGAACCACTGAGCCCAGGCTACATTCTTTTTAAGCTTTTAAAAAATATTATTTTATTTTAGATTTGGGGGTACACATGTGTGTTTGTTACATGAACATATTGTGCAGTGATGGAAATTGGGTCTCCAGTGGTGCATTCCCCAGATGACAATATACATTCTTAATTTATTACAGACTACTTAGAGTTTATATTGTACCATACAGCTTGTAAATGTAAGAACCTTGCAACCATGCCATTCCGTCTG